GGTGTTAGACTGCCCGTTGGGTCGCAGTGATCACGCAATCATCAGTTTCAACTTCGTCTGCTATGCAGAATATCGGAATGATAACGATGATACTGTGCGAACCGTCAAAACGTACGACCGACTCGCCCAGCTAGTCAGCGCCACAACATGGTCTTTCCTCGAAGAAGAACCCCCGGAAGTCGCCTGGCTCGAGTTCGTCAACACATTCAGTCAGCTGATTGCACAGGCTTCAGAGATAAAAGCTTGCAATAAGTGCAAATCCGTTTCTTTCGTTAGGAGCAGAACCCGAAAATGTATGACAGTACGCAACGCAGCATGGCGAGTGTACAGCGAAGCTCCAGCACCAGAAACTTGGGACAACTACGTAGCCCAACGTAACCACTGCACTCAACTGTTTAGAGAAGACAAAGCCGCCTATCAGCAGAACATCGCAAAAACCTTCAGTGCTAACCACAAGCTGCTGTACAAGCACGTTAATAGCCTACGAAAGGTGAGGCAAGGATTTCCTACACTCAAGACGGCTGATGTTCCAACAAGAACATCTATGGAAGCTGCAAACGCGCTGCAGATGCAATACGCCCCCACATTTCAAGGAGTCATGCCACCAAGCGATCTACCAAGCTTTGTATTCCGCTCACCAGGAATAACACACGTCAATTTTACCGCAGAGGCTGTATTGCAAAAGCTGACTTCTCTACGCAAACACAGCTCGCCGGGTGTCGACACCATTCGTCCAGAGGCATTGAAAGCAGCAGCAAACCAACTGGCAGGACATTTAGCTCGGTTTTTCCAGCACTGCTTAGACCAGAACCAAGTTCCAGCCATGTGGAAGCTTGGAATAATAAGCTTGATTCATAAAGGTGGAATCAGAACTGATCCCTCCAACTACCGCCCAGTAACCCTTCTTCCTATACTCTCCATGGTCATGGAATCCATAGTTGCCGATGCACTGGTGTGCTATCTGGAAAACTGCAACCGCATCACTCCTGAACAGCACGGTTTCCGTCGACAGCGGTCATGTACAACTAATTTACTAATTGCACGCAGTAGTTGGACCGAGGCAGCCGACGCTGGAGAAGGTGTTGATGTGATCTACTTGGATTTTTCCAAGGCTTTCGATCGCCTAGACCATCGCATACTACTATCTAAGCTGCAGCATTACGGGATCGGCGACCCTCTTTTAAGCTGGATCGCCAACTTTCTCTTTCAAAGGCAATTAGTGGTCAGAGTTCGGAGCTCTTTATCAGACCCCATACAAGTGGAGTGTGGTGTGCCGCAAGGCTCGGTTCTAGGTCCACGTTTGTTTTTGGTGTTCAGTAATGACCTTGCACAGGGAATCACTTCAAACTTCCTAATGTTTGCCGACGATATCAAGCTCTGGCGCAGGATCCAGGCGAACGCCGACCAACATGTGCTCCAAAGTGACTTAGATACAGTGTATCAATGGTCGACCCAAAACTTATTGCCTTTAAACGTCAGTAAGTGCAACGTGCTTTCTATCCAACATCAAGGCAGCTACTCATATCGACTCGGACGGATGTACTGCAACAATCAACTTTCGAAGCTGACTTGGGTGTCCTGGTTCAAGATGACTTGTGTTGCTCCAGGCAATCCGAAAAGGCCTCGAAGACCGGGAACCAACACGTTGGGCTGTTGAGGCGGGCGTTTGGACAAATAAACCGCTCCATATTTCGACAAAGGCTTAGTACTTACGTTCGTCCCCATGTAGAATGCACATAGCAAGCCTGGCATCTATGGCTAAAACACGACCTCAATGCACTGGAGCAGCCACAACGCCGGGCATCTAAGAACGTCATTGGAATGCGCAATCTTCCTACCAGGAGAGGCTGCGACGACTAGGATTGTTCAGTGGAATCTATCGCAGGCTACGAGGCGACCTGATTATGACATACTTGATTCTGCGAGACTCACATCACGTGTGCCGCCCTTTACTGCAACTCAGCAGCAATACAAACCTGAGGGACCACTCATTAAAACTCGCAGAACAATACAGTCGTCTGGAGTGCCGCAGAAATTTCTTTTCCATCCGTGTCTGTCACACGTGGAATGCTCTCCCAGAGTCGGTCGTCTCTGCACCGACACTAACAGTATTTAAAAGACGGTTGGACGATGCACTCATCCACTTACACTTTGTTACTTAACACTATGTCTCCATCCTACACCTGGAGTTTACCCTGGAATTATTTGTTGTTAACTGTGGGTGTTGTGAATCTAAGTGGATCGCAGGACTGCAGCGAAGCAAACGATAAGTCCTTATTTTCGTATTTAAAGTAGTAACTATTTTACTATCCTCTTCATCATAATTGTTATGTTGATATCCCCACCAACTATCCAACGAGGCTTGTAAAGCAACGCTTCTTAACCCGTATAAATTCATTGTGCATTGTTTCTCAGGAGCGTGACCTGGGTGTATTGGTACAGGAAGATCTCGGGTGTTCCAAACAAGCAGAGAAGGCGAGGAGAACCGGAGATCAACACTTCGGCCTTCTTCGCAGAGCCTTCGGTCGGTTTGAACCGTCAATATTTCCCCAAATGCTTAACGCCTACGTGCGACCTCACGTGGAATATGCTATTCCGGCGTGGCAGCCGTGGCAGAAACAGAATCTCCTTGCTCTCGAGACTCCTCAACGACAGGCAACCAAGAACGTCAGGAGCCTCTTTCATCTTCCCTATCAGCTTAGACTGAAAGCTCTAAGAATGTACAGCAGTCGATATCGGCTTTTGCGGGGGGATCTCATAATGGTTTACCAGATTCTGAAGAACCCAAACCACATTTGCCGTCCGCTGCTGGAATTGAACCCCAACACTAAACTGAGAGGTCACCCTCTGAAACTGACAATTCATTATAGCCGGCTTGAATGCCGTAGAAATTTCTTTTCTCTCCGCGTGTGTGAGCCTTGGAATGCCCGCCCTAATTATGTCGTCTCTGCTCCCAATCTGGCGATATTTAAAAAACGTGTTGACGATGCATTGTCTCACTTACATTTCATTTTATGACTTGTTAGCCAGGGGCTACAAAACGCAATCAAACGGTTTCTTGCCAAAAGCCCAACCATTGGATTTATGGATTTATACGTTTAATATGCGAACGTCTCCGCTATTTCACATAAGTCTATGATGAGTCCACCACAACGCTTTTCACTTTATTATGCAATTAATTTTCGCAATAATTTCCATCCCACGGGACTTGTTAAGCGATGCTTTTTTACCCATTATAAATAATTGTCCATTGTCCACTGGATCCCCAACTTCCTTAGGGACCGCGGCCTAAGCATAAAGGTAATTCAAACTACACCTGCCCCCTCTGCCAATGGCAAGTAGGGTTCCTCTAGGATTGGTCCTCGGACCAGAACTTTACAAAACGTTCATTCCGGTTTCAGTGCAAATCGACTGCTGGATCTAAGCTGATGACCTAATGCCATGATCAACAGTATGTAACCTGGACGATGCCGACGAATTACTAGAGGTACAAGATAGGCCGCCTGGGTTCCTACCAAGTGTCCATTACCTATAAAGCGCGGTGTACCTGCTTTTCTCCTAATTGGTAAAACTGGCCTATACGGCACCTACCACATTGGTAGCTTTCTTCTCAAGGACACCACGCAAGAAAAGGATCTTGGAGTCATCGAATCTTCGGACCTTAGGAACTCCCGAGGTACAATGAAGTACCGCGCCGTTGCAGAGACTTCGAGGTTTCTGGAGAAGGTCGTTGGTTAAAAATGACTCTTAAGAGCATCCGACTTACATACACGGCGTACATACTTCCCATGCTAGCATGCGGGCTGCTAGTGATTGTTGCAACCTACGTTTGTGTGCCCATTGATCGAGAAGGTCCAGAGGCGCGCCTCGAAAGCTTTTATCGAGCTTCGCGACCGTAATTACCCTCACCGACCTCACCAGCTAGACCTGTTACCCACGGAGTTCCACCGTCACCACGGAGATCTCATCTACAATTGAGGCATGGTTTCCTTGAACTCGGCAGTGAGCTACTACAGTTATTCCAGCTGAAGTTCGTCTGTTCGACATGAGGTCACAAAATGAAGCTTTGCAAGACATGAAGGCTTCACACTAGCTCAGCCTTCGCCTCGGTCAGATGAGTGGTCTATGAGTGAAACCTGTTACCAACGAAGCATGTTGACACATCTTCAGAGGAATGTTTCAAGCGGCTTTTAGACAAACACATGTTGATGACGCCGGGATCCTACTGCTCCCGCTGAAAATGCTACGAAACAGGGAGGAACCCCGTCGCACCACAATGCGAACTATATCACATTGAATAGGTATCCACGGTGCTGACAAACGTTCGCCCATCTGCAAAGTGCAGCAAAAATAAACCAATGAGCAAATAAGCCTAAATGAATAACATAAACTTATGCAGAATTAATTCGTGCAACCATAATAGTAAACAATTGAGAATCGTTTAGATTGTGAGATGCCATAGGGTTGTTTGTTTGTATCCTTTTGTGACCATCTGCGCGGGCATTTTTATTACAGGTGCAGCCATCGGGTTTCGAGTTTGCAGTCGTGCTGCCGACTTTCTGAGGGACGTTCAATAATGTTACTGCGGTATGTATACAACTCAAAATAATTACGCAATTTTATTTACATTTAATCGTCACCGTCTAAGCGGCATCCTCTAAGTATACGGCACAAGCTGCTAGGTTTAAAATGACAACGTGCTAGTTATTCCAATGTAAATCCGGTTGCTTGGTAAATAAAACAAACGAATTGGATGTCTGATATCTAAATATGTGAGACACAGACAGGTACCAAGGAGTGTCCTTGCTTTCGTACCTCACGGCATATTAGCGCAGACCAGACGGTTTGCATTATCTAATATAACATGCTTACGTGCTTTGTGTTATTGAAAGGAATAGCAAGGCTTTTTGTTGTACTTTGCAATAATTTTTTCACTGTTACGGTACATTTAAAACAGACATAAACAGATTGGTTGTGCTTGCTAATCACAGTCACAATCCCGCTTTTTTTCTCATACATTTCCTGATCTGTCCCTGAATCGCCGCGTTTTCGCTTCGCTCGGAATATATCGAGATGGACGAGTCTCAGGTGCCAATGACTGAATATGAACAGATCAAGTTTAAGATGAATCAAACAACAGATGAGGTATGCCTTTTTTCGCCACATTGTCCTACTAAAATTGCGATTTCTTTTTTGCGGACGTCTGTTGATCGCTCTGTGGTCTTAACCAAATTGGTCAACTTTGTGTGGTGTGCAGCATGCTCAGGTATGGATTCGTAAGAAGTAGGTTTTTGACCTGATGGTGTACCTTCTGCTAGCGCACTTATAAGGACTAGTCAATGCGAATACGTTATTGCTCTCCGATATGTGCAGCCTAAGGAATAAGGTGTATCAGCTTAGTCTGTCTGTAGATGGTTCTCATCTCGATCTCACGGGGTTTCTCAGTACATCAAGGACGTTGAAGTGCACTATGCACTTCGAAACACTACGCACCAGTTGAATGTGATCGCCCCGTTAGCCGACAGGGTGCGGGCGTTGCTATTCATGTTTATTGTAAACTTGACTTTTTGAGGACGTACATGTTTCAGTCGGTAGACAACTTAAATTTCTGTAGGCCGTGATTAGCATTTCCCTGGTGAAATTTTTAGTTGTAGTTAAAGGGGCCCTGTGAATACATACAAAGAGCTTGGTTTCATTCGCTCTCGGTCCGCAAACAGGTCTGTGTTACTGGGTGACTTCGACTTATGAGAAGTTTACCGCGAAGATCTTCTAGTTCAATTAGGACTGAACGATAGGAGAATCCCTTTGAGTAGTCGTTTTGTTTCGGATCGTTGAACCAGAAATGGATAAGGACAGGGAGCCAGGAAAAAGGAAACGTGTCATGTTGCCACCCAAGAGCGCCTTACTGGAGCTAAAGTACCGTTGCATCAGTTTGTAGACCTCTCCACAAAATACATGGACATCAAAATGCCGTCTACTTTCAACTTTGTTTGCTATCGCACGATTTTGTAAGTGACATTACTTACGGCTCATCTGTGTTAATGTTTGTTTTCCCCTAAGTCGTCGTCTGTCTAATCACCGTGGTGCCATTGTGCCACATCAAAATGGCACACGAACTATCGAGCAACTCGAGATAGCTTCAGATTTGCGTGGTGAGATCTTATGGGACGATTCTGTCAGGTAACCTGGGAAAAGTTGAAGTCCTACCACACATACGACTCTGCTCCCTACATCCTTGTCACGAGGGGGAGGCACCACCACAGACTCCCTGGATAGCGTCCACTGACAGATGCCTGCTCAACAAGCAGTCCGGATGCTGGCGGGCCTACCGAGAGAGGTACCGGTAGGCTAGAAATAGATGCAAGCAACACCTAAGAAATGATCGGCCCATGTACTCGAAGAGTTTAGCAAATGAAGTCGGAGAATTCAAAAACTTCTTCGCTTATCTCAAATGACGCTGCAGTTCGAACTGGTTAATTCCAGTTTTGATGCCAGTCGACGGTACTCATGCTCGTACGGACTATGACAAGGGTTTTGTATTTAGTGGGCAGTATTGTTTGCACGGGGAACCTCGTTGATCAGCGTTGAACTGGTTTTGAGAATCCCAGTGTGTTCGTGACTTGCTGAGTTTAGTGTAGCAATGGAAATTCGTATGCTGCCACAAGCACTGAACGCTTCTAAAACATCGGCCTGATTTAATTCGCCCGAAGTTGTTACATGAGTTGGCTGGTTAACAAAGTAAACCGCATGCTATCGTGTTTCAGAAATCTCTTGACAGCTGTACAGTATCTTCTGAATGGAAGGAAGCTATCATGTGACCCATTTTCAACATTAGCGGCGGGAGTCTGCTAGTTACGGCGTTTAATGTTCGAACTTTGATGCAGATCGGACGACAAGCATGTCTGGCCCGTACTCTTGAAACGCTATCGGTAGACATCTGTTGTCTTTCAGAGACCAGATTACAAGACTCTAGCGCCGTCATCAGAATGGCCTCTCCGGTAAACTCTGACGCCAAATACTACTTGCGGCTTTCCGAAGACCCAGAATCTGCCGCCACTGGTCAAGCTGGTTTTGGAGTTAAGTGCCAGGGCTGAATCAGCTCTGCTTGACTGGATCCCAGTCAACAGTCGGCTGTGTGCAGTCAGACTAAGAGGTTCAGGCGTCGAGATGTTAAGCGTGCCTTGTTTGTCGTCTCCGTCTACGCCCCTACAGACTGCAGCCCGGATGCAGTTAAAGATAGCTTTTACCAACAACTACATGAACTTCTGCGTTCCTCCAAAAGGACTGATATAGTCATTCTTGCCGGGGACTTTAACGCACGGGTTGGCCGCCTTCCACCAAGCGAGCACCACATTGGGGGTAGTTTTGGTCTCGGTGACAGTCGATCATCGCTTGTTTCTTTCGAGCACTAGTTTTCGACACTCGAGGAGACACACTGCTACCTGGCGTCCGCCCTCACAAACGCAAGAGTGCTCCCAGCTTGACCACATAGCAATCAGCTACAGATGGCGCGGAAGCCTAACGGACTGTTGATCGTACTGGTCAGCTTTTCTAGACTCTGATCACGCATTGATTCATGCTAACATTTGCATGCGTTTCGGAGGATCACCTAAGCGCGCCCACTGCCGACCGGACGTCGCGAATCTACAGAACGCTGCGATTTTAACCAGGTACCAAGCCTCACTGTCAATCTTGCTTGGCTCAACTATTGACCGTGATCTCGATTCACAGTGGGTGCATATCAAAGATGCTTTAGTTTCCGCCAGTATCGACACTTGTGGAGTTACCCGTCACCCACCGAAACATTGGATTTCCGCCGACTCCTTGTCGCTGATGGACAGACGCCGCTTTATCCCATGGGATTCCAGACACAGTGAGAAACGCCAATCCCTGGGTCGAGAGTTGCGCAGGAGTCTGCAAATGGACCGCGAAGCTTGGTGGTGTGAACGTGCAAGGGAGATGGGGCTTGCTAGTCTCCGTGGTAATACCAGGAAACTCTTCCATCTCATTCTAGTCACCGAAGGTGTTCGATCTGGTATAAGTGAAACAATATGCGAAGAGGATGACACCTTAATCACCAATCTTCAACGGCGGTTGGAGCGATGGGCCGAACATTTTGGCTCGCAGTTTTGTTGGCCCCCAGCTCCATCTGCTACCCCTGGCGCTCGCGCTGGAGCTGAGTGGTCTACCTCCACAGATCCTCCTTCCCAGGAAATCGAGCAGGAGCTCCGGCACATGAAGCGTTATAAAGCCCCCGGCCCTGATGGTCTTCACCCAGCTCTATTTAAAGATGGTGGCGCATCGCTGGTCCGAGAGCTCACCGCTTTGTTCTCGAAAATTTGGTCGAAAGAGAAAGTTCCATCATCTTGGGGTGAATCGATAGTCGTCCCCATCTTCAAAAAGGACCTGCGCACAATCTGCTCCAACTACAGAGGAATAAGTTTAGCCCCAGTCGTTTGCAAGCTGCTGGTGTCCATCATACTTCGCAGACTATCCCCAACACGCGAATCATTGCAACGAGAAGAACAATTTGGGTTTCGCCCTGTTCGCGGCTGCATCGATCAGACCTTCACACTTCGCCAGATCCTCGAGCTCCGCCATGTGTATCAGAGTCCAACGATTGCTGTGTTCCTGGATATCCGTGCAGCCTTCGATTCTGTCGATCGTACAGTACTGGCATTGCCTTCTGAGGAATGGTGTCCCCGAGAATTTCGTCTCCATACTGCGCGCTCTATATAGTCTGACCTCGGGCAGGGTTAGGGCTTATGGCATGCTTTCGCCTACCTTTGTGGTCTCCAGTGGAGTTCGACAAGGTTGCCCTATCTCTCCGTTCCTATTCAACTTTGCCATTGAGGATGTCCTGTAGAACGCTGTGAGCGATTCGTTGAACGCTGGCGTTGTGCTCCTCCCAGGTAGTCGAGTTGTTGATTTGGATTATGCTGATGATATCGTCTTGCTGGGTGACGATCCACAGGTCGTCCAACTTGCATTAAACCGCTTGACGATTGAAGCATCGAAGTACGGTATGTACTTTTCGCCATGCAAATGCAAGGCTCTCCTTCAAGACTGGCAGGTGCCTCTGCCTGCACTCACGCTTGCTGGTGAGACACTGGAGGTTGTGGAGAGCTTTGTCTACTTGGGAAGTTGCATCACTGCTGGCGGGGCTATTGGAGACGAGATTTCGATGCGCATCTCGAGAGCACGCCTCGCTTTTTCTAGGCTGAGGCATTTGTGGCGTCGCCACGACATTCGTCTCTCCATCAAAGGGCGGGTCTATTGTGCAACTGTTCGTGCTGTACTGTTGTACGGATGCGAGACCTGGCCCATTCGTAAAGATGACTTGCGCAGGCTATCCGTCTTCGAGCACCGCTGTCTGCGGTCCATTGCCCATGTGTGGTGGCAGCACCACGTCAGCAATTTGGAAGTTAGACAGCGTGTCTTGGGACGTGGATGCCACTCGCTCGAGGAGCTCGTCTAACTGCATCAACTGCGGTGGTTAGGACACGTATTGCGCATGCCTGTCCAGCATTACCCCCGTCGTGCGTTGTTTGCATTTGCTGGACAGGGCTGGAAGAGACGGTCTGGTGGACAGGGTACCACATGGAGAAGCCGCATGAAAAAGTTGACGAAACAATTGGCCTCAGCCGGTTGTTGTCGACTACCTGGTTGGGGTCCGAGAGATGAGGATACTTGCTGGTTGAAGACCTTGGAAGTTATGGCTCAAGATCGATGTCAATGGCGGACGTGTGCATCGGTTTGTTGCGGTGTCCCTTCTTCCTTCCCCTAAAAAAAAGAACAAACTGAAAAAATTTCAAAAACTGTGAGTGGTAAAATAGACAAAAAAAGCATTTGTTGTTGCTGTTTTCTTATTATTCGTATTGTTTTTCCATTCAACCATGATTCCGATGGCACAATATCTACCACAAATTGTATATATATATATATATATATATATATATATATATATATATATATATATATATATATATATATATATATATATATATAATTACAGGCCAGTTATTCTGCCAAACGTAATATTCAAACTCATCAAGACACTGGTAAGCTGTTCGTTGTAGTTATCTGGATAGATGTGTTCTACTCAGCATTGCACAGCACGGATTCCAGAATGGATTTTTGTGTCC